AAGCTTGTATGATGGCTGCTACGATCCACCTGCTGATGGCTACTTTAGAAGCCTGAAGTCCTCTTCGGGGACCGTTAGGAATGATGAATAGTCTTTGAGAGGTACGCCAAGCAGTTGATCTTTGTAAATAAATAGACATTTGACCAGATCTAAAGAAGAAGACTTGGTGTAACGGACCGTTTCGCTCACAAGGGGATAAAAACCGTTTAGGCGATAATCCCCTTCCAGATAGACCAGCAGCTACTGCAATCACCAACCTCCCGAACTCCAAACTGCACGTATTCAAGAACTCTCGAACAGCAGACACACGAACCCTGGAAGCAGCCGAACAGGAAAAGCCCTACGAACAGCTTACACTCCTGGCAATCGGCATACAGTCAAATCCCCCCCAAGAATGAGACGACACTTCACTTTGAGGGTTAAACAGGAACAACACTGATTTATTCACACAACAGGCTTATAAAGTAAATCCCTCCCTTGCATGGGAGAATCCAACAATTACCCAATACACCAATCACACAAGAGTTACCTCCCACAATGCCTCACAATCCCTCCTCTCTGCCCTGGAGATAATTGGGGAAGGAATCTAATTATCTCCAAGGACAGACAAAAAGACAGTAAAAGACATAAAATTGCATACTGATACATTTAGTACATAAGACACACATTTCTACATATCCCCAGATAGCTTAGATCTGAGCGCACATTATTAGATGAATGGCACTCAGATCACATACATACAGTTTAAATGCCATGGAGCCAAAGTCTTTCACATAGTCCTTTGTTACACGAATGGGCTCCATGGCTTAGCTATCTGGGTTAACATATTCACATATCCCAAAGTACCGACTGAACCGGTGTTCGACACCAAGGGCACGAATTGGAACCAGGGGGCGGACGGCTCAGCTGTGTTGGCGCAAGGAAGTGTCCGTTTTCCGTTCCACAGTGTTAGTGCTGAGCACCGCTGGCCTTTCGGGACTTAAAATGGCCGCTGCCACGTGTTCGGCAAACGAACAAAGGCCACCCAGCGTTCATCAATTAAGCTGCGGTTAACCGCAGCTTCTGGGCGGTCAATTGGCGGTCAATTGGCGGCACACTCCAACTCTCCGGTGGTCCCGCTTTCGGTAGTTGGAATCTACCGAACACCCCGGCAGAAAGGCACGAATAAAATAAACGGATTAACCTGCAGGGCCATAGTCCACAGGGAGCAGGCGAGCAACCAGGCTTCTCCAGTTCACAGTGGCGAGGTTGGTTTCGCCACACTTGGGTTCTGACTCACTGTCAGTTTCTTCCGACTGAAGAGCTGGGAGTACAATCTCCTCATTGATGTGAAAGGCTGAGACCACCTTAGGTCGAAATTCGGGGATAGTTCTCAGGATTACTCAGTCTTTGTGAACCACTGTAAAGGGCTCATTGGCTGATAGGGCATGGAGCTCAGATACCCTTCTACCTGAGGCTAAGGCTACCAACAGAACTGTTTTTATGGTAAGAAAATGAGGAGAGATGGATTCTAGAGGTTCAAAGGGAGGACCGCTAAGAGCTTTTAATACCAGCGGTTGGTCCCATGGCAAATGGCTTGATAGGAGGCTTTATCGTTAATACTGCTGACATGAACCTGATCACATCCTTGTCCAAATCCCATCTGTGATCCATTAGGGCTGAAAGAGCCGAAATATGAACTTTAAGGGTGTTGAGGCTTAACCCTTTGTCAAGACCTAGTTGTAGGAATTCCAGAATATCTGTAGTGGAGATTGACTGTGTATTGATTTGTTTAGATGTAGCCCAGGAGAAAAAGATGCCCCAGATTCTATAATATGTGGTAGACGTAGAGCGTCTATTACTGCCTGTGAGAATCCCTTTTCTTTTAGCCCTTCCCTTTCAACTTCCATGCCATCAGATTGAGAGATGCTGGGTCTGGGTGGAGAACAGGGCCTTGATGTAGAAGCGAAGGAATCTTTGGAAGCTGCCAAGGATCTGATTTGCAAAGGCTCAATAGTAGGGGAAACCAAGGTCTGCGTGGCCAAAAGGGGGCTATGAGAATGATGGATACTTTCTCTTGTCTTAACCGTCTCAGAAGTGGAAAGATGAGTGGAGTAGGAGGGAATGCGTAACCTAGGTTGAATTGCCAATCGCTCGATAGGGCATCTCTTCCTATAGCCAGAGGATCGATATTTTTTGAGAAGAAGTCTCTTACTTTCCTGTTCTTGTTTGTTGCCATCAGGTCTATTTGTGGCATGCCCCATATTTGTGTTATCTTCTCGAATATCTTGTCTGACAAGCTCCATTCTCCTGGGTCTATTTCCACTCTGCTCAGGAAATCTGCTATGGAATTCTGGTTCCCAGGAAGATGTACAGCTGATATACCCGCTAGATGTGTTTGTGTGAAGGCCATCAGGGGTTTCATTATTGACATCATCTTTTGACTCCTGGTTCCTCCCTGATGATTTATGTAGGCTACTACGGTGGCGTTGTCTGTTCTGATTTTGACCCACTTGAAACGGATAAGAGGGAGAAAGTATTTCAGAGCTCTGTGAACTGCCATCAGCTCTAAAAGATTGGACGGAGTGTCTGTTGTTGAAAAGGGCCATTTCTCTTGCATGAAGTGGTCTTGCAGGTGAGCTCCCCATCCCCATAGACTTGCATCCGTGGTTACAACAGTCCACGTGATGTTTCCTAAGAGGAATCCTCTGAACAGGAACTTCTTTTGTAACCACATCAGGGATTGATGGACCTGAGGAGGAATCTTGATAGGCTGTCGTGGGTTTCCCGATCTGAATTGGAAGATGAAATTCTTCTGGAATCTCCTCATCCTCCATTGGGCCCATCTTGTTAGCCCTATTGTTGAGGACATTGAGCCTAGAAGGCTCATGCATTTCTCTGCTGAAGTCACATTGAATGCCAACATTTCTTTGACTTTTCTTATTAATTTTGTACCTCTTTCTTGAGACAGACGTACTGAGCCCTTTAGGGTATTGAACAAGGCTCCCAAATATTTCATCCTCTGGGTTGGCTGTAATAGACTCTTTTTCTCGTTTATCAACCATCCATGAAGACGTAGGAAATGCATACAGATTTGGCCATGGGCCTGAAGGGTATCTCTGTCTTCTGCTAATATAAGGATGTCGTCTAGGTAATGGTAAATGGCTATGCCCTTCTTCCTGAGTTCCGCAATTAAGACGACTAAGACCTTGGAAAATGTTCTTGGAGCTGTGCTGAGACCGAATGGCAGGGCCCGGAATTGAAAATGCCCTTTTTCTACTGCAAAGCGAAGGAACCTTTGATGTTCTATTGCTATGGGGATATGAAAATAGGCGTCTGCCAAGTCTATAGAAATCATCCATTGATCTGGAAAAACTGTCTTTATGATGGATTGGATAGACTCCATCTTGAATTTCTGGATGTGTAGGTATTGATTTAACTTGCTTAGGTCTAGGATAGGCCGCCATCCGCCTGAAGCTTTTTTGGTGAGGAACAGATGAGAATAGAACCCTTGACCCTGTAGATTCAAAGGAACCGGAATGATGACTTTTTTTTCCTGGAGTGTAAAGATGAATTTCTTCAAAGCTTTTCTTTTTTCTTCCTCTCCTGGCCATTTTGTTATTTGAACAGAGTGGATCGGAGGTGGTCTGGAGAACTCTAAACGATATCCTCTTCTTATGATATCCAATACCCATCTGTCTGTGGTGGATTGATTCCATGCGTCTGGGAATAGTAACAGACGTGCCCCCACTCCTATTGACTGGGGGGGAAGGGGCCCATCATAAGGATCTGGGATTCTTGTGGAATGAAGCCCCCTTTGACTTTCCACCTCTTGCAGATGACTGACCTCCTCTCCATGGCTGGGATCTTCCATGTTCTCTTCCTGGCTTGTATGATCTTGAATCTCGAAAGGAAGAGTAGTCAGGGTATCTTTTGTACCTAAAGGATCCTCTAGGTTTACGATCTTGTGGTAGAAATGCTCTTTTCCCTTCGGCCGCTCTCTTGATACATTCATCCACGTTTTTCCCAAATAACATGTCTCCGTGGAATGGTAAGGCACACAAACTGGCTTTGGAAGAATTGTCCACTGCCCATGATCTTAACCATAAGGCCCTTCTGGCTGAAATGGAGAGAGCCATATTTCTGGCTAAAGCCTTAACCAGATCTACTGCCAGCTTTATGTCTTTGAGGCTTTCTAGAAGACTGGCTCTGCTTTTGCCTCTATGAATGTCTTCTTCTAGATTTTCCATCCAGATCCTTAAGGCTCTGGAAACTGAAGTAAGGGCCACTGCTGGATGAAGGCCTGTGCCTGCAGCCACATAAGCCTTAGAGAGGTGAAGATCCGTCTTTTTATCCATGGGATCTCTAAATGACCCTGCATCATCCACAGGTAGGGTAGTGTGTTTGGCCACCCTTACCACCGCTGCATCTACCTTGGGAGCAGAATCCCAGCAGCAGGAGTCATTCCTCCCGAAAGGATAAAGGCGAGCAATTCTACCTTGTGCTGCTAGTTTCTTGAGTGTCCTCAATTAGTTCTTTAATTGTCTCATGTACAGGAAAAGTAGCTCTTTTCTTTTTAAGAGCTGCAAAGTATCTGCTGGAAGTAGAGGGTTGTTCTGAGGAAACTTCTTTTAGGCTCAAGGACTTGCGTACTCTGGTAACTAGGTAATCAACTTGAGCAGGTTCCATAAATTCTGGGGCTACTGATTCTTCTTCTGAAGAGGAAGGCCCTTCTCTGTAGGAGTCCATATCCATGGATTCGTCTGAGGATTCCTCCTGAGAGTAATCAAAGGGGTCGGCAATTCTGGGTCTTTTGTGTGATTTTCCTGCTTCCTTAATGCTTTGGGAGACAGCTTGTTTGATGAACTGCATTATATCTGGTGTAGGAGTAGTATTAGAGGCTCCATCTGCTGCTGACAGGCATTCTGTGCATAAACGCTTTCCTTCTAGCGGTTTATTGTTGCAGGCTTCGCATCTCTTCTTCATAGGTGACTTGCCTTTGGAAGTTCCAGATGCTCTAATTCCCGTAGAACTATCATGATAGGGAATATAATTAGTATAGACACTTTTTGTTTATTGCAATAGAGAAAAAAAAAACTGGCTTACCTATAACCTTTAGATTGTGACCTTTGTTTATGTGTAGATGCCTCTGAGTCTGATGAAAAGGATATGTTTTTTCCATTTTTTTACAGGCTAGCGTAGAAAGAATTGAAATATTTATACTAAACAGTATAAAAAAATTCAATTTGAAAAAAGGAGGAATATACCTTTAAGAGAAGCATACCTGAGAATCAGCAAAATATTGATTGAAGTGAACAATTCAAAAGTGAAATCTGTCACTGGGAAGGATCCTAGAAGCCAGAAGGACCTGAGAGAGGTAAAAAAAAATTGAATTTGGCGCCTTAAAAAAGGCGTGTGACGTCACAGAAGTATACAAAGCGGCCATAATGCGCATGCGCGGAAGCAAGCATTACGTGATCCGCTTGCCCGCGCATGCGCAGAATGCTCGGAGGACGCCGAGCAAGATGGCGACTCCCAGAGACTGGAGCTGTGAAGCTTGTGGCCGAAAAAGCCATCCCTATGCTCCCCCAGGTCAAATAAACACAGAGGACCCTATTAAAATGGAGGACTATGGCTGAAAAAGACAGTTACCTTACAATAAGGTAATAAAAAACCCTTACCTTAATATTAGCAGCTGTAACAGAGTCAGTAAAAGGTGGAAGGGGGGACACATAACCACAAATAATATCCATAGAAAAAGAGAGAAAATCTAGAAGGTGAGGTTCTTCTGCCACTTCCTGCTACCGCTTGGTCACTGCAGGGAATTCTTCTTATTGGCAATTTTAACTTGCTACCCCTAGGGTCACTAAAGGAGCATCTCCAGGGGTTTTCCTTTGCGCAAAGGACCATCAGCACCGTAGACACCATAAGTACTGCAGACTCCACAAACCGCCGCTGCTGGGCCGGTATCTCGCCGTCTGCTATCCACCCTGGACCTATGACCAGGCTCCAGGTTCCAGTGGGTGAACCTCTTCCTTCTGTAGAGCGAAGCAGGATCAGGAACAAGAGCTCTTACAAGAGCTCAGTAGCTAATGCAGAGCATAGCAATCCCTGTAGTGATTATAGCTGTCTCCTACAAACACGAGTCGAGGCGGCGCGTTAGAGGGTCAAGAAGATCTGTTTAATCGGCACCAAAGGGCGTTTTTTACGCAAAGTTACCACTCACATGGTCTTGTGGAACAGCCAAACACATGATAATACAGTCAAACACTCCCATTCATCCCAGCAAAATCCTCCCCTCTGCCTGTGATAGAATTACTGTACACAATGGGCTAATGTAATCAGACAGGAAAATACAGTTTTTATACAATTCTTATAACTTTAAAAGTATACATGCAATATTAATAAAAATTACATATTCTAAATCAGCATTCTCCAAATACAAACATATTCAAAATCAGACAATTCCCTCCAGTGGTTTAAAAGTTAGGTGGAAGTCCTTTTTGACCGACCGCAAGCATGGCTTTACTGCCCAAAACAGTTCCATAGATTTGGGATGTGTGGTCGGTCTATTTTACACAGAAAAGTTATTAAGTCCCATTCGAATGCGCGAACGGGGTGCCGTTCGTGCAAATAGTCCAGTATAACAGTGCGTTCGAATTGTCGAATGCACTTAGATTGCAGCCGAAGTGGAGGAGAAGGTAAGGGTCAGCGGTGTTCGTGCCGTTTTGTTGCAGATTTCAGTTCCATGAATTTGACGGCACACACCGCTAACCGCGTTCGACTAAATAAAGATGGCCACTGCCACGTGTTCGACTGTACGAACGGCGGCCACCCAGCGGTCGGCAATTAACCTGTGGTTAACCACAAGCTTGGGAGGTAAATAGGCTGCACACTTCCACTTGTGTGGTTCGGGAAAGCCCCATTTACCGAACCATATAGGAAAATGACATAAACCAAGCATTTTTACAGTCTGAGGACACAGTCTTAAAGGGGCATTGTAACAAAAAGTCTCAATATGCCCATACAAAGTTTTTAAAGGGCCATAATCATGAGGAAGGAGCCTGGCAATCAGGCTTCTCCATAAGCCAAGGGCACAGGGTATTTTGTCACGTGAAAAAACTGTGACAAAAGGCAGTTTGTCACATAGGTTACCCCCACCCTCAGGGACCCCCTCTCCCGCTGGGCTGAAGGGGTTTTAAACAGTGCCAGGCTCCCTCTGTGCTGGAGAACTCCACACTCCATGCCGACGTCAGATCTGAATGCGCATGCACAGCAAGAGCCGCGCGCATATTCAAACAGCCCATATGAAAGAATTACTCAATGCTTTCCTATGGATGTCCAGCATTTTTGCACTGTGATTTTCACAGTGAGAGGCGCGGAAGCGCCTCTAGCGGCCGTCAGTGAGACAGCCACTAGAGGCTGGATTACCCCTCAGTGAAACATAGAGGGACCTGGCACCCAGACCACTTAATTGAGCTGAAGTGGTCTGGGTGCCAATAGTGGTCCTTTAATACAGGTTAGATATGTTTTTTCCTGGTAATTAAACTGCTCTTGGATGCTTAGATAGATAAACTGGACATGAGAAATATGTTAAGTAAAAGAGTGAACATGAGTAGTATCACTAGGTGAGGAATTGCTTAAGGATGTGGGTTGCAAAAGTAAAAATAAGGAGAAAAAGAAACTTAGACAACACGACATGATGCCGATAAGAGCTCATACAGCTATGGTAGTTGAACACACAGGTGAGTCCTGTATGATGAACCGTGTCAGTGTCTTGGGTCGTAACTGACTGTCAACCTACACCCAAGATAGGGAAGCATGAGTCGTTGGCACGAAGGGTTAGAAAGGTAGCAGCCCCAGAGTTGCAACGCATGGCCATCCTCCCATCCTGTGTGCAGGCCTGCAACCTCAAGCTATGGACTTGGGACCTTTCGTGTCCTTATCCGCCAGGGTTAGATTGGAGGTCTGCGTGGCTCGTTGCTGCTGTATGCAAGTTGTCTTCCGTCCATGTGGCCAGTGTTGTGGGGCTGTGCCCCTGTTGGCCTTCCGCCCAGGGGAGCCAGTAGCTAGTGCCATCCGTGCTTTCTTGAAGTGAGTATCCGGCAGGGGCATGTGCGCTGTCCGGTGGTCACCCGTCCGATCCTCCTCCTGCTTTTGGTGAGGCATAGCCAGTTGCCGTGCTTCTAGTGAGGCCTAGAAACTGTTGAAAACCTCATCCAACCGCTGCATAAAAGGGATACTGGGGTCAAGATGGGTCTATCCGGTTTGCGAGCATCTGCGCCATCTTGCGTGGCCACATTGCGGGCAGGTGCTGTTTCCACTTCTCACGCTGGTGCTTCGTGCGAGCCAGTTGGGTCTGGGATAACCCCCACTGGAACAAAAGGGGGGGAGGGGAGAACAGAAATACAAGGAGTACTGCTATGCACTGTTTAATGCGGAACGGGAGATCGGCTGTCTCACCCATCCGTCTAGATAGCTAGGCCCTGCGGAAACCTCCATCAGAATTGCGGGATGTTAATGCTCCGAGGGAGCAAGACTGTCTCGGGGATCAGGTAAGTCGCTGAGAGAGGCTGTTAGTTGCCTGGGTGCCAGGTACACGGTGTTGTAGCTAGTTTAGGCTCGGAGCTCATGCGAGGCACGTCAACCCGTCATGATGCTTAGGCCCAGCCCCCATCACCCAAAAATATTTTTAACAAGAAGAAACCTCCGACCTAATCTGAAAGCATCTTAATTTGTGATTTTTTTTTATCATCTATAACACTTACTGTTTTGCACCTTACAGCCAGCAGTCTATGTTACTGGTTCCCAGCTATCAGCCAGGAGTCAATGTTACTGGTTCCCAGCTATCAGCCAGGAGTCAATGTTACTGGTTCCCAGCTATCAGCCAGCAGTCAATGTTACTGGTTCCCAGCTATCAGCCAGCAGTCAATGTTACTGGTTCCCAGCTATCAGCCAGCAGTCAATGTTACTGGTTCCCAGCAGTCAATGTTACTGGTTCCCAGCAGTCAATGTTACTGGTTCCCAGCAGTCAATGTTACTGGTTCCCAGCTATCAGCCAACAGTCAATGTTACTGGTTCCCAGCTATCAGCCAGCAGTCAATGTTACTGGTTTCCAGCTATCAGCCAACAGTCAATGTTACTGGTTTACAGCTATCAGCCAGCAGTCAATGTTACTGGTTTACAGCTATCAGCCAGCAGTCAATGTTACTGGTTTACAGCTATCAGCCAGCAGTCAATGTTACTGGTTTACAGCTATCAGCCAGCAGTCAATGTTACTGGTTTACAGCTATCAGCCAGGAGTCAATGTTACTGGTTCCCAGCTATCAGCCAGGAGTCAATGTTACTGGTTCCCAGCTATCAGCCAGGAGTCAATGTTACTGGTTCCCAGCTATCAGCCAGCAGTCAATGTTACTGGTTCCCAGCTATCAGCCAGCAGTCAATGTTACTGGTTCCCAGCTATCAGCCAGCAGTCAATGTTACTGGTTCCCAGCAGTCAATGTTACTGGTTCCCAGCAGTCAATGTTACTGGTTCCCAGCTATCAGCCAACAGTCAATGTTACTGGTTCCCAGCTATCAGCCAGCAGTCAATGTTACTGGTTTCCAGCTATCAGCCAACAGTGAATGTTACTGGTTTACAGCTTTCAGCCAGCAGTCAATGTTACTGGTTTACAGCTATCAGCCAGCAGTCAATGTTACTGGTTTACAGCTATCAGCCAGCAGTCAATGTTACTGGTTTACAGCTATCAGCCAGCAGTCAATGTTACTGGTTTACAGCTATCAGCCAGCAGTCAATGTTACTGGTTTACAGCTATCAGCCAGCAGTCAATGTTACTGGTTTCCAGCTATCAGCCAGCAGTCAATGTTACTGGTTCCCAGCTATCAGCCAGCAGTCAATGTTACTGGTTTCCAGCTATCAGCCAGCAGTCAATGTTACTGGTTTCCAGCTATCCACTGGCTATCAGCCAGCAGTCAATGTTACTGGTTTACAGCTATCAGCCAGCAGTCAATGTTACTGGTTTACAGCTATCAGCCAGCAGTCAATGTTACTGGTTCCCAGCTATCAGCCAACAGTCAATGTTACTGGTTCCCAGCTATCAGCCAGCAGTCAATGTTACTGGTCTCCAGCTATCAGCCAGCAGTCAATGTTACTGGTTTCCAGCTATCAGCCAGCAGTCAATGTTACTGGTTTCCAGCTATCAGCCAGCAGTCAATGTTACTGGTTTACAGCTATCAGCCAGCAGTCAATGTTACTGGTTTACAGCTATACAGTCAATGTTACTGGTTTACAGCCAGCAGTCAATGTTACTGGTTTACAGCTATCAGCCAGCAGTCAATGTTACTGGTTTACAGCTATCAGCCAGCAGTCAATGTTACTGGTTCCCAGCTATCAGCCAGCAGTCAGTGTTACTGGTTTACAGCTATCAGCCAGCAGTCAATATTACTGGTTTACAGCTATCAGCCAGCAGTCATGTTACTGGTTTACAGCTATCAGCCAGCAGTCAATGTTACTGGTTTACAGCTATCAGCCAGCAGTTACTGGTTTCAGCTACTGGTTTCAGCTATCAGCCAGCAGTCAATGTTACTGGTTTCCAGCTATCAGCCAGCAGTCAATGTTACTGGTTTCCAGCTATCAGCCAGCAGTCAATGTTACTGGTTTACAGCTATCAGCCAGCAGTCAATGTTACTGGTTTACAGCTATCAGCCAGCAGTCAATGTTACTGGTTTACAGCTATCAGCCAGCAGTCAATGTTACTGGTTTACAGCTATCAGCCAGCAGTCAATGTTACTGGTTTACAGCTATCAGCCAGCAGTCAATGTTACTGGTTTACAGCTATCAGCCAGCAGTCAATGTTACTGGTTTACAGCTATCAGCCAGCAGTCAATGTTACTGGTTTCCAGCTATCAGCCAGCAGTCAATGTTACTGGTTTCCAGCTATCAGCCAGCAGTCAATGTTACTGGTTTACAGCTATCAGCCAGCAGTCAATGTTACTGGTTTACAGCTATCAGCCAGCAGTCAATGTTACTGGTTTACAGCTATCAGCCAGCAGTCAATGTTACTGGTTTACAGCTATCAGCCAGCAGTCAATGTTACTGGTTTCCAGCTATCAGCCAGCAGTCAATGTTACTGGTTTCCAGCTATCAGCCAGCAGTCAATGTTACTGGTTTCCAGCTATCAGCCAACAGTCAATGTTACTGGTTCCCAGCTATCAGCCAGCAGTCAATGTTACTGGTTTACAGCTATCAGCCAGCAGTCAATGTTACTGGTTTACAGCTATCAGCCAGCAGTCAATGTTACTCACTGTTTCATGGCTAACAGACGGCAGTCCATGCTTTCCTGCTTTCCCTTTATGAGCTGAACATCAGTAATCAGTTTGCTGACATTGTCTTGTCGAACCTTGACCTCTTCGTTCTTCACACAGGCCAACTGACAAGTAGGAAACAAGGTATTACTTTTTATCTGCACAATATTCTTCGCTGCCTTTCCACCATTCTCTCCATGTCTTATCGTTGCCCCTATCCCGCCAGCACTGTGCCCATATCTAGCTAACCCGTTATCCTATCCTGCTAGCACTGTGCCCCTCCTCTGCCAACCCGTTATCCTATCCTGCTAGCACTGTGCCCCCATCCTGCTAACCCCGGTTATCCCATCCTGCCACCCAGTTATCCCATGCTGCCAGCACTGTGACCCCTATTCCACTAACTCCTGTTATCCCATCCTGCCAGCACTGTGCCCCTCCTCTGCCAACTCGTTATCCTTTCCTGTTAGCACTGTGACCCTATCCCGCCAACCAGTTATCCCATCCTGCCAGCACTGTGCCCCAACACTGCCTGCTCCTGTGCTGCCTTGCCTTCTTCCTACCTCTCATAGCGTCTATCTTTTCTCCCCTTATGGTTATGTCACTTGCCAAGCAGTCAGGGTCCCCTACGTCCCTCCCCCATTACTCACATTGTTAACTTTTCTCTTTATATTTTCCAAGAGGTTCTCGTGGGCCCGGACGAAGAAGGGGTGCTGAAATTCGGTGTCATCCTTTTCAGGTTTCACCAGGCCTCCTTGCTCAATGTGAACAACCTTACGGAAGCCATCTAAAAAGTAATGTGTGTCAATCTGTGCATACCATGGTTTGGTATAAATTTGTTGTTAATGGTTTCAATGTGTTTCTACTGGGACAGTGGAGTAAGGACTTTCCTTTAAGGGTGACTCTAAGGCACACCGTAGTGATTATGGTTCCATGAGTGCCCTGGTGCCATCAAACCATTAATGGGTGATTTGATCCTTATTTGGCTCTGTCCTGTGCCTGCCGTGCTACCTGTTCTGGATTAATAAGCTGAAGTGGAAGTCTGACACTATCAATTGCTGAACATTCATTCATTGGCGGTGAGTAAAGAGATAGCATGTCATGTACACCGTATTAGGGGCAGTTTAAACAGAATAAATAGGGGCAGATAGGGACAGTTTAAACAGAATAAATAACAGCTGTCACACTTCCTGCTTAATATCTAAACAGAGCAGATATTTCAGAGGGAAATGATCCATCCTATCTGAGTAGAAGTGGTCAATGAGGTAACAGTAAAAGGGTTCCACTCGGAACTGCGGATAGAGACCCTGAACAGCGATGCAGACCTTTCGGTACATTGAAGGTCAGAA